CACACACACACACACACACACACACACACACACACACACACACACACCAAGGTTTGAATGCTTAGGCACTAATTCACTGAGATACTAAGCAAAGCTGAACCACAACATCATAGAATTTCAGAACAAGAAGGGATCTCAGAGACCATTTACTAGATGGTTACCCACGCCTGACCAATGGTCATCCAGCCTTTGCTTACAGGCTTCCAAGGTGGGGGAAGCCACCAGCTCTGGAAGCTATCTGTTCCACTTTGTGATACCTCTAATTGTTTAGAAGGTTTCCTTTCCATCCAGATTAAATAGGTCTCTTTTTAATCTTCCACCCTGTTTTTTATTAGTTCTGCCCTCAGGGGACAAAGAAAATCACTGTAATCTCTCTTCTACATGACAGAGTTTCAAATATTTGAAGGCAACTATCTGATGTCCTCTCCTAGTGCCCTATCATTTCCAGGAGCTGGCCTTTGGTACTCAAAGATGTAGGAGACAACTAGGTGGCACAGTGCACAATGTACTAGGCCTGAAGTCAGGAAGACCTGAGTTCAAATCTGGTCTCAGACACATACTAACTGGGTGACCCTGGGCAAGTCACTTAACCTTGTTTGCCTCAGTTTCTTCATGTGTAAAAATGAGCTGGAGAAGGACCACTCCAGTATTGTTACTAAGAAAACCCAAAATGGGGTCATGAAGAGTCAGGCGCAACCGAAAAGACTGAACAACAAATGAAAACTCAAAGATGCAGGGGAAGTTCTGTCAGGCCCTGCCAAGCCGGGAAGACTTCTGCTACTGGACTAGTATGTGATGAACTGTGTCGGAAGGAGCCACCTCACCCAGTTCAAAGAAGCTCACCAACCAGAACACTGGCCATGCCACGATGGGGGAATCTTTTTCACCATGTTGTTGTTTCAGTCGTTTTTCAGGCGTGTCCGACTCTTCATGACCCCATCAGGGGTTCTCTTGACAGAGATACTGGAGTGGTTTGCCATTTCCTTCTCTAGCTCATTTTACACATAAGGAAACTGAGGTAAACAGAGTTTAATGACTTGCCCAGGGTCATGCAGCTACTAAGCGTCCAAGGCCAGATTTGAACTCAGGAAGATGAGTCTTCCTGACTCCAGGCCTGACGTTCTATCCACTGTGCCACCACACTGCCCTTTTTTGACCACAAAAACCATCTAAGACACAGAATGGTCATGATTTGTTCTGGTCAAAGAAATGCTCACCCTGATTCCTACACCAGTGAAATTGAGACAACGGGAGAACAGCATGGCAGAGTGGATACAATACTGGATTTTGGAAAAGCCCAGGTTCTCATCATGCCTCATACACTTACTAGCTATATGACCCTGGACAAATCACTTAAAAATCTGTGCCTCCTTTTCCCTATCTGTGAAATGGAAAAACAACAGCATCTAGCTTATAGTGTTGTTTGTTGCAAGGACAAAATGAGATGATACATGATCATGAAAGAGGATACATTTTGCAAACCTTAAAATGCTATATAAATATGAGCTACTATTTTTATAAAAGTATAAAACATAATTCTAGTAGAACTTGGTTTGGTTTTCAGTTTGGTTTTGTTTTTTCTGCAAACCAGTGGTCACAAATACCACCATGGCTTCTCAGAGGAGGTGGGTTGTGAGCTGAGCCTTGATGGATGAATAGATTTAGATAGTTAGAAAAGACGGAAGAAAAGCACAAGGGAAAAGAATGAATATGTAATGGGAAATGTCTGGTTTCAACAGAATAAACAAGTAAAGGGAGATAAAGCTCACCACTCAGTTATTGTTTAATTGACAAATACATTGTTATTCATCTTTAAACTATTATTAGTGTTAATGAATAACTTAATGAAGATGGCAAAGTGCCAGATTTCCCAAACACTGTTGGAAGACAGTCTTTTGTCCACTAAATCTAAGTTTTCATTAATCTGGTTGCTCCTTAATGTCAAATCCACATATCAGGGTTGAAGTAAATAACCTAAAATGCAAGTTCAAATAGAAACAGATCCCTACAGGTTGGATATTTAGAAAATCACAAAATAGCATTATCTATGTAGTGCTATATTTTTATTTAGTCTTGTTAACCATTTTCCAATTATATTTTAATCTGGTTTGGCAGAACTTTTGTGGGGCCTGGTGCTGTGAGTTTCACATCTCTGACCTAAAATACACCCTAGAAACAAGACACTTCAGAAAAGACACAATTACACAAAACCCCAAACATTTGGGTGAAGACAAGAGACAAGATCCTGGGTCTAACTAACAAGCTGACCATCATCCCAGCTTTTCTTTACCCCTCAGTTTATCCAATTGATCAAAGGAAGTCATCACATTCCTCCCAAGAGCATTTTGTCATATGTGAAAAGACATTGGCTGGAGCCACTTAATTCCACCTGAGGAGATAAAATATGAGAAGGGATTGCACTTCAAGTAATGAATGGCCTAGGACATAGAGTAAAAATCGAAAAAATAAAATAAAATCAGAAAAGAACACCAGCCTGAATTTGTCATGACACAGTTAAGCCTGCAGATATCCAGGAAGACAAAGGCTGAAAAACCTCTCCAGCATCTCTTCTCAACATCAAGTCAAACTAAGACCTTACTGGTGATCTAAGTCAGATGGATCCAAAGAAAATGTAAAACTTGTCACATCAAAAATTTAATTGTGTTCTCTTTATCTCTTCAGGTCCACAGGCTTAACTCTGTACTTTTTTGGTAATGGAATAAAATCTTTACATAATACAGTAAAGCTGAATAAAAAATAAGCTGAACCCTGAAAATTATAGAAAAAACTTCTTACACAATAGCACTCAATTTTAAATGGTGCCTACTACTCAGAATCACAGAATCTGAAAGTTGGAAAGGACCTTGCTGGCCACCTAGCCCAATTCATCCACCAAAAGCATTCCCCCTAAACTATAATAAAGAAGTCATTATCCAGCCTCAACACCAGAGGCTTGATCATTGAGAAGAGGAACTGTCTTACTTTTCTATTTATTGCCCTAGCATTTAGTATGGTGCTTGGCTCATCGTTAATGCTTTTTTCATTCATAATTAATACAATCATTGTTTTACATAGACTTAACCACACAAACACCGATGGCGTGGATAGGCAGACATGCAAGGAGAGGTTGTGACTTGCATCGCCGGAGGGCACAACTACATCAATTAAATCAACAGTCAACTGAAGTATTTCAGTTCTATTTTAATGTAGTTTTTTCTAATCAGAATCTTCCTATAAAGTTCTTCAGCTCTACCCTCCTGGTCTCTTCTACTCACCACTGCTAGACTCATCTCCTGAAGTAATGATTCTGATCATGTTTCACATAAATATCCATCACTTCATTTCTTAGAAACCTTCAAAGACTCCACATTGCCTACTGAATAAATTCCAGATTTTCCAACCCAGAATTCATCAAGGGCCTCCACAATTTTGGTTCCTACCTGCTTATGTTTCCAGTTTTATTTCCTATTACGCTCCTTTACATTTCTCTATGGTCTTAACTGACTCGATCATGTACTCCGCATTTTTTTTTGCTTCTAATTATTTTCCTAAAATACCCTCTTCCTTCTTTCCTCCCCTGTCACCTGGCTTATTGAAATCTTATCCATTCATCAAGGCTCAGCTCAAATATCACCTGAGAAATCTTTGTGGATCCCTTCCACCAGAATCTTGTTGTTCTTTCTGTGACTTCTGAGAGGACTACATTCATACTTCTCTTATACATTTCTCATATTCCACTTTGCAGTATACTTATTTGACTATATGTTTTATGTACCGTGTTGTTATTTGCTTGCTTTTCAATCATATCTGGTATTTCATGACCCCATTTGGGGTTTTGTTGGCAAAGATACTGGAGTGGTTTGCTATTTCCTCCTCCAGCTCATTTTACAGATGAGGAAACTGAGGCAAACAGGGTTAAGTGACATGCCCGGGGTCACACAGCTAGTAAGTATCTGAGGTCAGAGTTGAACTCAGGAGGATGAATCTTCCTGACTCCAGGCCCAACACTCTATCCATTGTGCCACCTAGGTGCCCTAAATAGATGTGTGACTCTTCATGACTCCATGTGGGATTTCCTTGGCAAAGATACTGGAGTGGTTTGTCATCTCTAAACTTCAGGGCAAAAACCATACCTCTGTACATCTTCCAGGAGGAGGCAACATGGAGCATTAGATAGACCACTGGATTTGAGTGAGGAAGACCTGAATTTGAAGCCTGCCTCCTACACTTGCTGTGTTACCCTGGGTAAGTCATTTAACCTTACTCAGTTTCCTCACCTGTTAATCGGATAATAATAGTATCAACCTTACAGGGTTTTGTGAGGATAAAATACATAAAGCCCTTTGCAAACCTTAAAGTGCTACATAAATGTTAGCCATTAATTACTTGGCACAGTTCCCTTAAACATATTGGATACTCAATAACTGTTTATTAATTTTAATAAGTTATTAAAAATTAGAATTAAATGTTATAAAGGGACCTTGGAAGTCTGCTAACCTGACCTCCTACAAAAAGTACAAGTCCTTTCTATATCAGAAAGATAGCCAAACAGAGCAATAATAAAGACTTGGAGGTTTTTTAACCTGTTAAGAAAAATTAAGCTAGTATTCATATTTAATAACTTGCATTCCCTGTTCTCTGGCAATAATCTTTAAAAAGGAGGAATTAACTTCAAGAACTATTAATAAGTTACATAGAAAATAACATTTTACCTGTTCATATGCCCAGAATTTAACAGCTGTCTCAGGAGCAATTTTAATAACATTCACACCATTTCCTCTCCAAAGGGACCGGATGCCTCCTTCTTTCACCATCTGCTTAAATCCACCAACTAGGTTCATTTTGTTTGACTTTGAACCATGAACCTAAAAATGAAAAGAAAAGGTTTTCATTTAAAACTTGCATGAAGGTTACTTTTCTGAAGCATTTGTATATAAAACCCTTTATTTTCACTATGGTTTATAATCTCAAGGCAATAATGAGAGGTCCAGAGATGGGGGACTATACGGATCAAAAGAATTTAAGAAAGATGAAAAAGGCAAAGGCTGAGAGATGACATAATTTAAATCTATAAAATAACTGAAATACAGACTTATCCACCAAACCTTGAAATATTAAGGCAAAGGAACAACTTTCAAATTTTGAGATCCTTATATTTAGGAAAATAAAAGATGTGTGTGTGATACTGATGCTTGGATCATTGTATTACCGAGAATAGATAAGTTATTCTGTCATACAATGTTGCTGTTACTGTGTACAAAGTTCTCCTGCTTCTGCTCACTTCACTTTGCATCAGGTCATGTAGGTCTTTCCAGGTTTTTCTGAAAGCATCCTGCTCATCATTTCTTGTAGCAATAAATATATATATATATACACATATATTATACATAATATATATTATAGCTATATATATATATAGCTAATAGCTATATATATATATATATATACACACACACATAACATATACACTTGACATTTGCCTTTATATTGAACCAAAATCCGTTTCCCTGTAACTTCCACCCAAATGACAACCCTTAAAATATTTGAGGACAGCTAATGTTTCCTCAAAGCTCTGTAAGATAAGCATGCTCAGCTTCTTAATCTGTCACTCTGAAATAAGGTAAAGAAATATGTAATACATAAGGCAATAGACTAAGTTACTTCCTGTGAATAAATTAAAACTGACAGAGCTTTTATTGCTTCTAGAGTATAAGCTTGTTAAGGGCAGGAATAGCTTCTTATTCATTCTTGAATCTCCTAAATGAATCTAAGAACGTGTGAATTTTCACAAATAGGTCAAATGAACATGAATATCAAATTATGCTGCTAAAATTTTTTGAAAATGTTCTCTCAAAAAGAAAACAATTATTCACATCATTTTAATGAAGAATTTAGAATGAAACATCTGCCTATCCTCGTGACCCATACACTAACCTGCATCATGACCTTCAGTCGATCTAAAGGCGCTGTACTTGTACGTGAGACAGCCCCAGCGATCCCTCCTGCCAAGAGCTGTCTCCACCACTGGCCAGACCTCTTTTCTTCTTCTGTGAACTCATCTGGAATAGATAAGCTGTCTCCTATATCAATCCCCTGTTTAAAATGGATAGAAAAGTTTCATTATAATATAATTTTAGATCATTTGAAATCAAGTATTTTTAGCTATTTGTAAGAGCCAAGTATTATTTCACCTATTTTATCTACACAATTAAGATCAACCTCTTTTTCTAGATAATAAAGAGGGGAGCATAAATTGTTTTAAATAATCTATTTACAAGTAAAGTACCAGTTCACTTGAAGTTGACACAAGCAGCAATTATAAATGCCGTTCAGCCAAAAAACGTGGATGTTATTGTCTTTAAATAATCGTTGTTCTCAATGACCATTTTGAGCATAAATATAGGCCAAAAATATTTTACTATGTTTAGAAAGATATAGTATACTACTGTACTATATCAATCAGCATATTTTAAATTGGAATAATTTTGATAATACCAGAATTATACAAAACATCTAACAAAGGGTTACCACTTCCACTAAAAGATCACAAATAAGAAGGAACCCAGCAATTACCAAAGCAACCCAAGTGGGCCAATGTAGTAAAAATTATAGTGGAAGGTAAATCTTTATTTTCAGCTTCAGGTAAAGGAAGACAGTGGTCATTTTTGTTGGGGGGGGGAGGCACAATCAGAGTTAAGTGATTAACTCTGAATTATTAAGTGAATTATTAAGTGAATTAAGGTTAAGTAACTCTAACCCAGGGTCACACAGCTAGTAAGTATCCTCCTGAGTCCATTGCTTTATCCACTGCACCACCTAGCAGCTCCTAGTGGTCATCTTATTTATCATTTCCATGTATCTCCCACTGTTGCATAGTAGACTTGGAACCCAAAAGACCTAGCTTCAAATTCTACCTCTGACACTGATTTACTAAGCAAATAACTTCACTCCTATGTACCTCCTTCAACTTAACCAAATCATAGATGGGCTACAATCTTTGTTGCTGGAGGGAGTTCCCATACTGAGAGTAGCCTATATGGATAAAATCACAGATCCTTCTGATAACTGTTTCTCACTTAGGTAAGTAATATGAGGGCTTCCATACATATCCTCAAATAAAAAATTCATACTAGTAACTCAACCTTCTAATGACTTGAATAATTATTAAATATATTAATAGATTGGTTATTTCACTAATGTGGATACTTCTCCACTGGATGCATATCACAATCCTTCTAATACCTTAGTACGTGGTATTCCTGAGTGAATGAGGCTGAAAATCCCATCAATTTTTAGTCAACCTAATGATGAACCTCTCTGAACTTAACCAGGCTAGTCCCTGGATGACAATTAGAGAGGTCATTACCACACCTACACTTGGAAGTCTTTCTAGAATCCATCAGTGTATATACTTCACTAACATAGCCTGGCATCACCTCTCTGCCACAATGGGGCAGCACAAAAGGACTTTACTGGAGAAATATTAATAGTAATTCATAATAATGACTCACATTTCTATAGCATTTGATGATTTACCAAAAATTTTCTTTACAAGTCTTAAGGTTTGCAAGATGGGTTTAGAGTCAGAAATTTAGAGTATGAGTTCTGGATCTCAAAACTGCTCAACAATTCCAGGATCTTAGACAAATCTCTTAATATCTCTGAGCCTTAATTTCCTCATCTGTAAAATGGGGATAACAACACTTGAACTATCTACAGAGTGCACAATAACTACAGAGTTATTATAACCGTAGGTCACATTTAAATAATACTTTACAATTTACACTTTTCCCCCAACAACCCATGAGGATGATGGCAACAGTACTATGTATGTGTATATACACACTTGCACATATAGATACACATATATGTATATGTGTGTGTGCGTATAAATCATTTGACCCTGAAAACAAGCTTAAGTTAGGTACTAGGTACTACAGGTCTGATTCCTCACTTTACAGAGATGAGAGGAATTGTAACAGATAGAGAACCAACCTCAGAGTCAAAAAGCCCTGGGTTCAAGTCCTTCCTCTGACATGTAGTGACTATGTGGCCCTGATTAGCCACTTAAACTAATTTCCAAGACTCTCTGTTGTAGAACAGTTGCAGGTTTACATTTTGTTGTTTTTCAGTCATGTCTGATTCTGTAATATGTTCACCATGTGTGTTCTCAGGGATCTCATGACCAATGTAAGTACAATACTCACTTTGGTTAGATAAATGCTCAGAAGTTGCAAGAGGTGCCCTCTGCTGAAGAGTGGTCTCATCTGAAGCCTGCAGGTAGCAACTGAGCTGTAGGGAGGTATGGCAAGATCCTTGCACTCCAGGAAATTGAGATCAGGTAAGATAAGTAAAGCATGGTATCCCTAGAGCTTTTTGTTGTGAAGTTGTTTTCAGCCTAGTCTGACTGCTTATGACCCCATTTGGAGTTTTCTTGGCAAAGATACTGGAGTCATTTGCCATTTCCTTCTCCAACACATTCTACAGATGAGGAAACTGAGGCAAACAGGGATAAGTGACTTGCCCAGGGTCACAGAGTGTTAAGGGGGCCCCTGAACTTGTCTTCTTGAGTTGCCATCTTTTCCAGACACACTGGACCCAGAATATACAGGAAGTCCTGAATATGTCAAGGAAGAAACAGCCCCCAGCCCTGCCTTGAGTTGATATAATTTATTTGCACCCAAACTGGACTCCCTGTGTGTTTTTAACAACTGGTGAATGTCTAAAGTCAGATTTGAACTCACAAAGGTGAGTCTTCCTGACTCCCAGCCCTTTGTTCTATCTACTGCACCACCTAGCTGCCCACCAGATTTCAATGGAGGGAATTTCCTCACCAGGAATTTCTCATGTGAATGAAATCACAGGATGAAACAAAAAAAGATGGAAAAACAGAAACTCAGAAAGGTTGAGTTCCCTCTGGGCATATATTTAGTGCTAGAGTTAGGTTTCAAATTCAGGTCTCCTGATTCCTCAAGTTCAGTACTCTTTTCACTATGCTACACTATCTTTTGATTTGTAATATAGAAAAGCTGAAAATATATGAATAATTCTGAAGTCCCTCACACAGATGTAGCCCTTGACTTATATACACAAGTGACTCTGACCTATAGAACTCATTCAGTAGAAGAGGAATCTTTTTTTAATCTAATTTATTGACATCTGTTAACAGTTATAGAAAACTGACTCATCTGAAAATTCTTGCCAACCTCCATTTTGTTTCAAGTTAGCTGATCAAAATTTCAGAAAATATTCATTGTCCTATATTTAGACCTCTACGTCTTCTGTGTTACAGAGATTACTTGGCTGACACTCTAACTATGGATGTATCATCCTGCACTTCCCTGGGGCAGTCCAGAGTATAAGGGATAAGCTTGAATTAACTGAATAGCTGAATCTCCTGTCACCTGGCTCTCGGGAAGAGGAAGGCCTTGGCCAGAGTCTGTTAGGCTAAGAAACAAACAGCTCACCAAAGTGAATGTGGTCCACTTCTAGGTGCTGGGTAAGAAGGAACAGGAAATGGAGAAAGGAAATGACTCATCAGTACACTGAACATAGGTTAAAAAAAAAAAAAAAAAGATTAATTCACAGACTTGTGCATCAAAAGCACAGCAGAGTCCAGTTTGGAGGCCTCCCAAATCCCAGAGAAGGACGTAGGTGAAATCTGTTTCCAGACACTAAAGAGTAAATCAACGATGAGAACAAAGATAGCAAGATCAAGGGGCTGAGATTACAGAGTCTCTAGCTTTAGGATACCATTCTTTACTTATCTTGCCCAATCTCCTGAACTTCCTGGAGGGCAAAGAGCTCACCCTGACACCCCTGACAGCTCAGCAAACCACAGCCGCTACCTGCGGGCTACAAATGACACTACTTTTCAGAAATGGGCACCTCTTGCAACTTCCAAGGGTTTTTTCAACCAAACGGGGTATTATTGTACTTACATTAGTCATGTAGCCTTAGCGATCCCTGAGAATACAACCAACAAATTACAGAATCATGAAGTTAGAAGGGGCCATAGAAGTTCACAGAATCATTCAATTTTACCTTAGGTAATACATGAATACCCTCTACAATATTCCTGACAAATGGCAACCCAACCTCAGCCTGCAGCCTCACCGCTGTACTTAAGACCAAGTCATTAAAAAAAAAAAAGAGCAAAAATCCAGCTTTCCTTACAGAATGTTTCCAGAAGTGAACTATTTCCTCAATGTTTTCAGCAGGATTAAGTAAAAAGTAGTCCCTCCATTCATTCCAGTCAACCGACATCGTCCCATCAGCATCAATGCTGAAAACAAAAAAGAGTGTAAGCCGATATAAACCAAGAGTCACAAATCAAATTAGAATAATTGATCAGTCCAGAGTAATAATATGTCCTTCTAACTCATTTTCAGTGGCTGCTTCTGTTGGTCTTTACCCTCAATCCATTGCAGTCTAACACTTGTGAATATTTCCATTCTCAAATATTGCTATGCTGATCTCTCCAAATTCAGGATGATTACATATACTTTACCCTTTTAAATAATGGACATGAAAAGGACTTTTGATGTGAACAGGATCCAGTATTCACTTAAAAGAGAACCACTAAGAATCACAGGATCACTAATTTAGATCTAGAAGCAGGGATGTGCTGGAACCAGCTTGAACCAGCTGAGAACCAAATTTTCAGTGTGAACATTTACACCTCAGAAATCAGTAAGTGGTCCAAATCATTGCTTGATTTATCATTTGATTGCCTAGATGTAAGAAAATGATGCAGAAAAAGTTAACAATGCAGGTTAAATGTAAAAGTGTGTTGTGAGTACATATTGTTTCCAGAGAATCAGCTGTTAAAGACTACCAGCACACCCCTGAATGAATGATGAATCCTTTGAAATCAACAAGGTTCTTAACTCTTTTTGTGCTATGAACCCCTTTGGCAGGCTGGTGTGAAATCTATACACCTCTTCTCAGAATGTTTTTCAATGCATAAAATAAAATAATTGGGATTACCAAGAAAACAGATTATATTGAAAATCAGTTAACAAAAACAAGTTCATGGACCCCAGGTTAAGAATCCCTGATAAAGTTAGTACAGTCCTCTCATTTTACAGCAATAGTAACTGAGGCATAAAGAGGTTAAAGAACTTGCCCAGAGTCAGAAAGAAGAATGAGCAGAGCAAAAATTTGAACTTAGGTCCCAAGATTTTAAATCTGACAACAAATCAGACCATTTCTCCAATTTCTGGATAAAACGGCAAATGGAAGATAAGCAGGAAAAACACAGTACCTTTAAAAGAGAGTTTCTCAAATTACTAATATCAAAATACAAATTCTACCATACTAGTAAAATTACTACCGGAGAAGTTATCATTATAAATCTCCTTCACTGGTAATTAATGGCCATCTACATTGCCATACTCGGATCCCTACTTAACTAGTCCTCTAATACAAATTCTTACACTAAGATTGGGCACATGTTGAGAAAACCATATTCTGGTCCTGGCAGAACTGTCTAATTTTATCAGCAGTGGTTTCTGGTATATTCCTTGCCATACCTGTTGGTGGTGAGGGGAGAGAGAATCAGCCATGAACTTGGAGAACAACCAAGTCTCTGCTTTCAGTCTATTAAGATATAGCTTGCTGACTGAATTCCACTAAGAGTATTCTAATCACTGATCAGGGCATGAAACTGAACTTGGCTATGTCATCAAAGCATAAAGCATGGCAGGACCTACCAAAGAAAGGTCTCACGTATGGACCTAGTGATGCTATCTGTTGGCCATGCATAGAGAGGCTCACCATTAGAAGACTGGCCAAAGGAGGGACTCTTAACCTGAGGCAATTTTTTACTGTATTTTGATAACTGTATTTCAACATAATTAGCTTCCTTTGTAATCTCAGGTATTTTATTTTATGTATTTAAAGATATTATTCTGAGAAGACAGTGCCATAGGCTCTGCTAGACTCCAAAAGGGGTTCATGACATGAATAAAGTGAGACCCCCTGAGCTCAAGGCATAGTTTTTTCTCTGGGGATTCTTTGTTTTGTCTTTATAATGATGTTGCAAGTTCTTACTTCTCATACCTTCAAATAAGATTTTCAGTTTCTCTACTTATTCTTGGTGGGGAGGGGTAGTAATTATTATTTAAATTAATAGAGTTATAATAGCTTTAATTGAGGTGTCACAGTGGAGTGAATAGAGAGTCAGGCTTACAGACAGGAACATCTGGGTTCAGGTCCCAGCTCAGACACATAAAGACTGGTTATATGCCGCTGGGTAAGTCATTTAACTTCTCTGGGCTCTATACAGCTAAGACCTATACCACAGAGGGGGTTTCCTCACCCAAGAGCTCCCTAAGCTAGTGAAATCACGGGTCTGGTCCCTGTAGCTATCCTTTAATATCTTGGTTAATTACTTCAACCACAGCAATTCACCCTCCAATAGAAGGCACACATAGGCAGTAACCTGTATTGGCAGAGGAAGTATCTACACCAGTGATATTACAGACATTTGGAAGTATCAAAGTATCATTCACCATAGAATTGCTTTGCAAGAAGTCATATTTCTCTTCTAGAGAAAAGAGGGAGCTCTAAGCTAAATAGCACTATCCTCTGCCTACCTTTGGGTGTTGGTCCCACTTTCCCATAAGAGATACAAAGGGACAGAGATTTTCTTTTCAATAATCCTCAACCAACATTTTAAAAACCTTTTAGGAACCACGAGTCAATTGACCAACAGCAATTATTGAGCACCATCTGTAAGCTGGTGCCTGATAATCAGCATGACCACCATCAGGTGATGCCTATTATGCATAACAAATTGGGAGAGCCAATGAGGTGGTTACAAAAAGGAGTAAAAGACAAAATACCCACTTTTAAGAAATTGATTATCCAAAAGACAGGAAGACAAAGACAAATTAAAATCCTGGGAGCAAAAACTATGGCAATTTAGTATAGTAAAAAGAGCACTGGAACTGGAGTCAGAAAACCTGGTTCAAATCCTGACTCTGATTCTTACTACCTCAGTGACCTTGAACAAGGTTGTAATAAAAAATAGATATTTTAAAATTATTAAATATTTAATAAAGGTACGTTTTGTTATAAAGCAGATAATGATATATAATAGCAAATTTTCATTTGAAATTCTTGGCTACTATGAAAGTGTATAGGGTGGTTTAAAGATGTAGTTTCAACATATTAATGATGAGTCAACTATCAGGTATTTGATGTATGTCTGAAGCCCCAAAATACAGGTAATTTTAATTTATAAGTAAAGGGTAAATGAAATGTTAACTGTTAGGGAAGCATAAGAAAAGATATTAAAACCTTAAATTATGGTTAGTGAAATTTTGCTTTTTAAGATAAACATTCCTGAGGCTGTTATTTATTATTTTGAGCTTTGATTACCAAGATGGCTATCTGAATTATCATGAAACCAACAGTAAAAAAAAAAAAAATATGGCATGTTCTGCAATCTGGGAACTGCTAAAGGTGTATGTCTGTGCCTGGGAAAAGTTTTGGGGACAACTTGGGCACGGCCTAGATAGGATCCTCTTGACTATTTCCCCATTGTGGTATTTCTTTTTTGCAAAGGAAATTTCCCCACTTGATTAATCCTGACCATTGCTTTTAACACCCTGTGACTACATGATTGGCTGTCAGATGAATGCCTGGAATCAAACAGAGCTAAGGGAGTTTTCCCCCTGTTATGATATATGACACTGTTATAACTATTTCCCTCCTTTTCCTTTTATAGCAAATTTCTATAATCAAGAAGTTTTGTAAGTACAATACTAACTCTATTGATACTGGACATCTCTGAGTTACTATGATAGGGTCAAGTATGAACATCCTACAATTTTAACCTGTATTTGTGGCCAAATTATGATATAGGGATGATATCCTCCTAAGGGGAAAATGATTAGACACAGTAATAAGACAAAGATGTAATGTAAAAGTTTTCTAAATAAATGAATAGAAAATTTTGAGAAAACAACAGGATCATATGATTGGCTTCCAAATTTATCTATTATGGGGGGGCGGAGCCAAGATGGCAGAGTAAAAGTAGTGACTTGCTTGAGTTCTCCCCCAAACCCCTCCAAATACCTATAAAAAATGACTCTAAACAAATTCTAAAGCAGCAGAACCCACAAAAGACAGAGTGAAACAAATTTACAGCCCAAGACAGTCTGGATGGTTGGCTGGAAAGATATGTCACACCAAGCAGGGAGAGGAGCACAGTTCAGTGTGGGCGCATAGGCAAGGCAGGCCTCAGAGGACAGAATAGCAGGCAGCAGTAGCAGTTTCCAGACTTCTCAACCCACTAACACCAAACACAGCTTAGAAGGTCAGTAGGAAAAGTCTGTGACCTTGGTGAGAAAGAGAAGCACAGGGTCCCAGCCCCAGTTCCTGCATGTGTCCCAGGGTGGTGACTGCTTCCAGAGCTTACTGGTGCAGGATCCTCTTGTTTTGCCCATGCTTGGATCTGGGTCACAGTTCTAGGTGGCAGTCCTGGGGCGAGGAGGAGCACTGGTGTGGTACAGCTTATAATGGTGGTGGAGAGGAAATCCTCCTCATAGTTCCAAGGCAGAAAAGAGTGCTTGTGGTCACTCATAGACCAGAGCACAGGCCAGGAAAGGAGTAAACACCTCGCCCCTTATCATACCACCTTGGAAGAACTGAAAATTTACAGGTCCGTAGAAGTATCTCTGAAAACAACTGCACAAAACCCCTGAAGCTTGGGACAGTGCATTCTCCACAATGGAAGCAGACCCCTACCTTAACAAAGAGTTTAAAACTCAAGTAATTAGCTGGGATCATAAATAAAACAAAGGTCCAAAAACAGTCAGACCATAGAATCTTTCTTTGGTAACAAAGAAGATCAAAACCAAATTTATCTATTATGAAAATTCAAGCTTTGAGTATGTTTTAGTAATAAGTTCTCAAAATTGTATTAAAGATTTTACACATAGATTGTATTGATAATGGTAAATAAAGTGAAATTATTTTCCCATTTTTAAGGTATCTGTCTGATAATCTCAAAAGGCAGAAGAGTTCATTTTGCAGTTGGACCCTCATAAATTTTTAAAAGATTCTTTTATCAGTTATAGCATTTAATAAGGATAGAAATAGCAAATGGCATATAAATTGAAATTCTCTGAAGTTTCAAAATTGGAGAACCAATTTTAGGTGATTGTACTAAATTATATTAAGTCAGAATTACCTAGGAATCTCTATTTTTGGAACCAGAGAAGCAGAGCCCCCTTTAGAGCTGTCCTGAAAATAAGCATTTTGTCAAAGAAAAGGGACCAGATAACTACATCTGGCACTCAAAATGTGCTAATTAAATGGACATTGAGAATTGATTACTAGGATACAAGGAGACTTGATGTCAATTAACATTGGTGATAACTGTTGTATTGCTTTGGTCTTTTGTTTTAAAATGTTTATGTTTAAGTTTTCTTGGTTACCTTGGTGACATGTAAATCTCCCTTTTCAGAGCAAGTCTTCTGTGAGACTTCTAAATAGTTTGATCTGTACCTGACTTCATGGAATTATGCAATTATGAGAATTGTGGAAAAAAAAAACTTTATTGTATTGTTTGAACTTAGCCCTGCATGGCTGGGAAACTGGATCATTTCTATGTGCTGTTTAGAGATTCTTAAATCATAACAACTATGTTATGCTGACCAGAAACTCAGATCCAAAGACTGATACAAGGAGTTTTCTCACAACTATCAACCCATATGTCTTCTAAGGGCCCCTACCAGGGCCTTCTGACTACTCCCACAGCTGCCAACTTGTGGGTGTGTACGTCCCTGCTCCTGACTGGATGGCAGAACCCTCTGGGGTCCTCAGGGTTTGTTTGGTACAGACCCAGAAGCAGCCAACACCCAGACAAGATAGCTGTCCCAAGATTCTGGACGAGGGCTGAGTAAACTGTTCTAGGTTTGTTTTTTTTTTCCCCTCTTCCCTTTTGTTATATGCCTAACCACCAACGCCCTGATTCAAGTGTGTGTTGGCATTTTCTCCTTCTACATTCTTACCCCCCACTTTTTCTGCTTGCAAGCAAACAATGGCTAGCAATCATACCTGGCACACGCTTCCTGGATAGATCCCCTAAAGAAACTAACCCCCTTGGCAAAATCTCATCCAGGCTCAACTGGCCTCTCTTGGTATCTTGCCTTATACCTGCCTCTCCTTTATTGGTCAGAAAGGGAAGGGATCCCCCTTTGGGAAAAAGGGGGAAATGTCAAGATATTAGGAGATACCCTGTTTTCCAGAACTAAGACCCAGCAAGTTGTGCCCCGAGCTTGGCATAACAACAATCCTTTGCGCTCACCTTCTTTATGATCTCAGCCACAGCAAAATCCCAGAGTTGTTTCTGATCACAAAAACTTGCTATGAATCAGACTTGTCACATTGTTGCTGTTACCCTCATTGTCAGGGCTACAGCTCACTGCATACCCATAGGTATAGGGGCAGCTAGGTGGCACAGTGGATAGAGCACTGGCCCTGGATTCATAAGGACCTGAGTTCAAATCTGGCCTCAGACACATAACAATTACTAGCTATGTGACCCTGGGCAAGTCACTTAACCCCATTGCCTAACCAAAAAAAACAAAAACAAACAAAAATAACCATAGGTATAAGTATTAAGATCTCCCCACACTGCCTCAGGGGCCCTCCACTAGGGATGGGCCCCCAGCGCACATGTCCTTGCTTGAAAGTCATTTCCCTCACATTGAAATTAAATTTCTGTTTGATTCCTGACTCTCCCGTCTCTGGTCTGCTCTGTTTGGCTCTGGTCACCCACAGGTTACAGATCAGTCCAGTCCGAACTACATTTAAAATTCTTTTGACACTTCTCTAGGCTTCAGTTTCCTCATTTATAAAATTATAGAGTGGAAAAGATGGCCTCTGAGGCCCCTTGCAGCTCTAAGTCTATGATCCCCTGAAAAAAATACATAAGCCAAAGGAGGAAGGAAAAAGAAATGGAACAGAGGCACAACCAGAGGAACAGATGATGTGAGAATCCATTTTTAAAAGTCCACGTTTGCAGCTTTTGGGCTCTAGAATGTGATAGCAAACTGAAAACTAAGATTACATCATAATAAAGAATAAGGGCTCACCTTTGAAGAATCTTCTTCGCTTGTCGTTCAGAAATATCTATTCCTAGGATCTTCAGAGACTGAACAACTTCTGAAGCTTCAACTTTTCCTTTAAGAAAGAATTCACCAATTGAAACACACTGAAGTAAAAAAAATTGTAAAATATTACAATATTCTAGAAATCTACCAGTTCAACAATAGGTCCTTCACCAGTCCTACATACAAAGAACAGAGACTAAATTTCTCATTTGAAACCAAGAGAAGTAAGGACCCTAACTAAATGCCGTTAGAAAAAAATAGGCAACAGTGATCCCTCTATTCATAGTCATATCCTCCAGCAAGTCAACTGATATCCAATTCAATTAAACAAGTATTTATTAGTAGTATTTACTAGTACACTACCGGTGTTTATCACACATATACCTAGCTGGCATTGTGGTAGACACAATGTGGGAATACAAAATAATTATATTCTTCAATATTTTTTCAACAGATATTGACTAGACTAGAATTCCGAACTTTCCATTATATGACTCCATCTTATCTTTCTAGCTTTAGCTTACACAATTCCCTCTGTACTCCAACCCATTTGGATTACTCATCATTCCTCAAGAGTATTCCACACTTCCCCATCTCCACACCTTCATTCACATTATTACCAACAACTAGAATGCCATGTTCCTATCGCTATCTGTTGACATAATGCCACCCCCTCCATGAATTCTTGATTCTACAAATTGGTAATGACTTTAATCCTTCATCTAATTTCAAAGCATGTTAAAATGCTGTTATGTCCTTAGATTCTAATTTAATAGCAATGATAATAGCTGATAATATCTCCAGCATGCTTTAAGGTTCACAAAGCATCTTACAAATATCATCTCCTTTAATCCTTAGAACAACCCATAGATGCTATTTGTGAGAGAGGTTAAGTGACTTGGCCGGTGTCAGACCTGGCTGTGTCTGGAGCAGGATTCCAACTCCAGTTTCCCCGATTCCAAGTCCAGGACTCAACTACACTACCTAGAAACCTCTATTTTGAAAGAATATTTTTTTGTGTACACATCTCATATCTCCTCCTACCAGAATTTAAGCCCTTAAGGGTAACAATAGTTTTTCTCTTTGTATCTCTGCCCTTACCCTGGACAGCACTTTGCAAATTGTTGTTGTTAATGTTCATCCTTCGACTTAAATTTTGTCCAGAGAAAAAACTGATGAATCGGAGTATGTACAGAGTTATTTTACATATATATGTGTGTCTAATGGTGGCCATCTCTAGGGTGGAAGTTGGGGAGGGAAGAAAAAAAGAAATTTACATAATAACTTTGTTGTATATTTAAAAGGAATAGCAGGTTGCACATAGTAAATTTGTAGTTTCATGTGCAATCATCTTTTTTATTTTACTATGTTATGGAAATGCTTGTTTTATTCCATAAATTAAAAATAAAATAATTTTTAAAAAAAATTTTTGTCCTGCATTTAATGGGAGTCAGGAAAACTCAAGTTCAGATCTGACCCTGGATACTTACTAGCTGTGTGACCCTGGACAAGTCATTTAACCTCCATTTGCCTTAATCCACTGGAGAAGGAAATGTCAAACCAATCCAGTATCTTTGCCAAGAAAACCCTTGGGACAGCATGGTCCATGGGGTCACAAAGAGTCAGACATAACCAAATGACTAAACAACAACAAAAATGGTGAGGCAGGTACTGGGCCTACCTCAAAATGAAATTTTGAGTCAATGTAGCACAGTGAGGTAGAACGCTGAATCTAGAATCAGGAAAATCTGGGTTCTAATGCTCCGCCGGGTACTTACTAGATGTGTGACCCTGGGCAAGTCACTTAAACTCAGCCTCAGGTGGGTGGCCAAATCAAAATCATACTCCTAAGAAATACCTCGCTGCTGGTAAAGCGATAGCTACAGTAATACAAGCAACAGAATCAAAGAGAAACTGGCTCTTTTGAATCAGAGACACTGATATAAATATATTTAGCTTGATAAAAGGAGACAAGAGGATCACAGAGTCATGTTACGGACATCAGAAGTCACCCGTCTAATCTTTTCACTTTACAAAGGAAGCTGAGGTCCAGAGACATTCAATGACCTGCCAACACTGACATTGGTAGTGTCTAATGCAGAATTAGAACATAGATTCTCTAACTCCACAACCTGCGCACTCTTGCCACTGTACCACACTCTCACTTAATCTTTGAGGGACAGGAGTAAGCTGAAGACTTTTCTAACAGACACTAACACTGCTTTCATTCATAGACCAAGAAGTAAATGGAAAAATGAAGCATACCGTCATTATTTTTGTCCAGACTCTTAAATGCCAACCTCATCTTTTTCTCATGATCTTTAAGGTACTTCATAAACTCTCCAAAGTCCAGCTGCCCATCACGGTTGGTATCTCCAATGTTGAAAATTTTCTGCAAATGAAAAAAAGAAATGGCAGAGAATTTTAGAGTCCAGGAACACTGTTTCTAGCGCTGAGTGATGTCTACCGTTTCCTTAGTAACCTTAAGCTGACGGCAAAGTACTAAATTAAACCTTAATTTTCCAGGCCACAGCTTCACTGGCCAAGCATCCCCCACCAAACAGTTTCTGAATTTGGCACAACACTAAACAGTGTTCCATTGTCAAAGATTTTGAATCCCAAGATTCAAACAGACCAATGTCACTGTTTTAGGCTGAAACAGTCAAGTAGCAATTCCCACAATTCTGAATAAAACCAAGTAGAGAGGAATGCTGTTAGTCTTTGAGAGTGTGCAATAGAAAAGCATTCTTAAGGGAAGCTCAGGAGCTTAAAGATTCAAGAGCTAGAGAAACACAATGCTCATCTATGAGTGCCTTCTGGGTCCTACTGCAGAAGTGGGTACATCTGTAGTGAGCTAAAATTAGCCCTCTAGCTCATAGAGTGTTTACTAAAAAATGCTCACTATGTAAACAGGAGCTATTATCACTCTTACTTCTTGTTGTTTGTCCCTCCTTCTCGAAGAGGACCTTGGCATAAGGAAGGTGAAGCCATGACTGGAAAGTGAATTGGATTTAAGTGAGGGGAGGGCTGTGCAAAGTCACCAGCCTCCCTTTCTCCTCTTGAGCCATCTGGGTCCAGTGGCAAGATAGAGATCAGGACGACTGGATATGGCCCCCACTACTGCTTGGGGAGAGGAAAGGGTCAGGAGATTCAATCCCATTAGGAAGGGAACTCCCTATGTGGAAAGTAGCTCTGCTTGTACAGATCAACCACTCATTTGTATGTAGTAGTAGTTTTTACTGCCTGAGGCTCAGCAAGGTTAATCACTTTGCCTACCATCACACACCTTGTGGGTGAGAGAGATAAGGAATTCAAGCTGGGTCTCCCTGACTCTAAGTCTAGCCCTCTACCACTACACCAAGCAGTCTCCCACTATTGATGCCATAGTTTTTATTATTAACTGTGGAAGTTCAATTGCATCTCAGTCAGATTTCAAGAAGCTCAGGGGAGACAAAGACAAAAGTAGTCCCGGCCCCCAAGGAAGTTTCATTCTGCAGGTTCCTCTACAGGTCCATTCTTCCACAAAGCAATACAGGCAAGGTCACCAGACCCTCTCCCCAGTTCTCATGAAGAACATCACTGAGTTTCTAGAAACCCAGGTTGTTCCCATCAACAGCAGGGATGACAGAGTAGCAGGGAACTTGCCACCAATAAATACATCAATATCCCAAACTGCAGACAGTTAACAATGTGTCCTCTAACCGCTCTAGACTCCCAGAGCCACTGAAAAAAAAAATTACAAATACGTCAGCCACATTATCTCATGAAACCTCATTTAAGTGTATAATAGATGCATATTTATGAAAACCAGGGGAAGGAGAGGTCCAGAAACTTTCTCAAAGCTCCATAAATGGGGGTGGGGGACTTCTAGGAGCCAAGGTGGCGGAATAAGTAGTAAGTCATTCTCATCCTCCCTTGTTGACCTTGAAAAACCCAGAAAATACCACCCCAGGAAAAATCCTGGAACAGGGGAGCCAGCAGAAAGATGGAGTGCAGCAGTTTTTTAGCTCATGAAAGTAGGGATTAACAGGAAAGGTCCCTTTTGCTGTGGTTGAAGGGGAGTAGTACAGGACAAGAGGCATCCCAGCAAGCTAGTGGGATATCCTGAGCCCTCTGGTGGGGCAGGCAAGTGCCAACACCAGCCCCCCCACTGTCTTGGCACAGCCAAGGGAACAGGCAGACACCAGCACAGAGAACCACCATGTGTGCTGGAGGACAGGCGTCCACCAACAGCTGAAACTATCCATGCTCTAGTGCAGCCCTGGGTGAGGAGGCAACCTCCAGTGGGCAGTCCCACCCCCACCCCACAAGCTTCAGTATAACCCTAGGGAAACACTGAAAAACCCCACCTGGCCTTGGCCCACACCAGCCACCAGCTCCAGCTCAGCACCAGGTAAGCTACCAGACCCCTACAGCCTGCAGCCAGAGCCTGAAGTGCCAGCACACAAAGTTAGTAACCAGGCCCCTAACTCCCAGCACAAGAAGCATGGGACAGGGGCAGCTAGGTGGCACAGTGGATAGAGCTCTGGCTTTGGAGTCAGGAGGACCTGAGTTCAAATCCGACCTCAGACACTTGACACTTACTAGCCATGTGACCCTGGGCAAGTCACTTAACCCCATTGCCTAGCAAAAAAAAAAAAAAAAAGGCATAGGGATAGTGCCCCCTGTGCCCAGAAGCAGAGATCAACTTTAAAAGCCAGGAAAAATGCAAACACCATGAACAAAAAGCAGCAAAGAAAAATAAAGACCATAGATTCTTACTATGGGGACAGGGAAGATCAATATACAAATTCAGAAGAGGACAACATTGTCAATATACTCACACCCAAAACCCCAAAGGGGAATATGAACTGGTCTCAAGCCTAAAAAGCCTCTATGTAAGAGCTCTGGAAGGATTTTAAAAGTCAAATAAGAGAGGTAGAAGAAAAATTGAACAATTCCTTTAAAAATTCAATTGACAAAATGGAAAAAAGTATACTGAAGAAAACAACTCCTTAAAAAGTAGAATTGGCAAAACAGAAAAGGAAGTACAAAAGCTAACTGAAGAAAACAATTCATTTGAGCAAGTGGAAGCTAATGACTCTATGAGACATCAAGAATCAGTCAAACAAAATCAAAAGAATGAAAAAAATAGAAGAAAACGTAAAATATTTCACTGGAAAAACAACTGACCTGGAAAATAGATCCAGGAGAGATGATTTAAGAATTATTAGTCTACCTGAAAGCCATGATCAAGAAATCATCAAGGAAAACTGCTCTGAGGTCCTAAAACCAGAGGGTAAAATAGTCATCGCAAGAATCCACCAATCACCTCCTGGAAGAGATTCCAAATTGAAAATGCCAAGGATATTGTGGCCAAATTCCAGAATTATCAGGTCAAGAAAATACTGTAAGCAACCAGAAAGAAACAATTCAAATATCATGGAATCACAGTCAGGATTATGCAGGACCTTGCAGCTTCTACATTAAAAGATCAGAGGGCTTAGAATATGATATTCTGTAAGGCAGAGGAGCTTGGAGTACAACGAAGGAACAACTACCCAGCAAAACTGAGCATAATCTTTCAAGCAAGGAGATGGATATTCAATGAAATAGAGGACTTCCAGAACTTCCTGATGAAAAGACCAGAACTCAAAGGAAAATTTGATCTTCAAATGCAAGACTCAAGAGAGGCATAAAAAAGTAAACAGGAAAGGAAAAAAAAAACCCAACATGTTATTCAATAAGGGCAAACTGTTTATATCCATACATGAAAAAATGATACTTGTAACTCTCTCTTGAAAACTGTATCTTTATTATTACATTTAGAAGGATATACATAGACAGAAGGTGTGGGTATAAATTGACTTTGATGTGATGATAAAAAACCTAAATAATTGGTGAAAAGGGATTGTAATGGGAGAAGAGGAAAGGAAGAGGCAGAAAAAAGTAAATTACATCACATGAAGAGGTGCAAAGACTTATTACAGTAGAAGGAAAGAAGGGAGGGAGATGAGCGTTGTTTGAACCTTACTCATTGAATTTGGCTCAAGGAGGGGAAAACATACTCAGGTATGGAAATCTAATTTACTCTATAGGGAGCAGGAGGGGAAAGGGGAAAGAAAAGGGAAGGGTGATCAGAAGGGAGGGAAGAAGTAGTAAGGGAAAAGGGAAAGAAAAGGGAGGGGACTGATAGAAGGGAAGATCAAGGGAGTTGTCTGTCAAAAGCAAAACTCTAGTGAAGAGGGAAAGGGAGAAAGGAGAAATAAAAGCAAAAACCGTGGAAGGGGGTGGGAATAGGATGGACAGAAAGACACAGATAGTGACCATAACTGTGAATGTAGATGGGATGAACTCTCCCATAAAACAGAAGCAGATAGTAGAATAGATTAAAAATCATAATCCTACCATATGTTGTTTACAAAAAACATATATGAAACAAAGGGATACACACAGAGTAAAGGTAAAAGGCTGGAGTGGAATATATTATGCTTCAGCGGAAGTAAAAAAAAAAAAAGCAGGGGTAGCAATTCTGATCTCAGACAAAGCAAAAGCAAAAATAGATCTAATTAAAAGAGATAAGGAAGGAAATTACATCCTGCTAAAAGGCACCATAGACAATGAAGTAATATCATTACCAAATATACATGCACCAAGTGGTATAGCATCCAAACTCTTAAAGGAGAAGTTAAGGGAGTTACAGGAAGAAATAGATAACAAAACTATACTAAGTGGGGGACCTCAAGCTGTCCCTCTCTGAACTAGATAAATCTAACCACAAAGTGAACAAGAAAGAGGTTAAGGAGGTGAATAGAATTTTAGAAAAGTTAGATGTGGTAGACCTCTGAAGAAAACTGAATGGGGATAGAAAGAAATATACCTTTTTCTCAGTGATACATGCCACCTACACAAAAATTGACCATATACTAGAACATAAAAATCTCACAATCCAATGCAGAAAGGCAGAAATATCAAATGCATCCTCTTCAGATCATAAGTCAATAAAAAAGTACATGTAATAGTGGGCCATGGAAAGATAGACTAAAAATTAATTGAAAACTAAATAACCTAATCCTGAAGAATGAGTGGGTCAAACAACAAATCATAGGAACAATCAATAACTTCATCTAAGAGAACAATAATAAAGAGATAACATACCAAACTTATGGGATGCAGCAAAAACTGTTCTTAGGGGAAGTTTTATATCCCTAAATACTTACATGAATAACACACAGAAAGAGGAGATCAATGAACCAGGCATACAACTAAAAAAGCTAGAAAAAGAACAAATTAAAAATTCCCAATTAAATACCAAATTTGAAATACTGAAAACCAAAGGAGAGATTAATAAAATTGAAATCAAGAAAATAAACTAATAAATAAAACTAAGAGCCAGTTTTATGCAAAAAAATT